CATACTTCACTTCCTCTCGGGGTCTGGAGGTGATGTGTTCAGGTCAAGTCTGATCTTATATTTTTATGTCTCTCAAATGTTTTTTGTAGTTGCTCCAGATACAACACACACACACACACACACACACACACACACAAAACACACAATCACATGTACATGCAAACACTCACACACAAGATAAACACACTCAGATAAACACACACACAGAGATAAACACACACACACACACATAAAAACACACAGATAAACACACACACACAGATAAACACACACACAATAATAATCCTCTTGGTTTGGTTCTAGTCCCATAAAACACAGTGTGTTTGACGGTTCTAAATGGTTTGAAGTGGTGTTTTTTTGCCGATGGTCGGTTAACGCTGTGGTAAGATCTGACACGTGACACGCGGGGCAGAGTTTACTGTTTGTGCAAACGCCACTCGGAAACTTTGGTCCTGAACAAGTAGCTGTAAAGAACTGACCCAACTGTCCAGAGCCGCTCGCGCTGCTCCGCGCTCATGTGCCCTTTCATCAAGCGGAGGGAGTCCCAAGGTGTGTGTAAAAGGTTTCCTTATCCATGAGCTGTTTGAATGACTCGACCAGACGTCCTCGACTGGAGCACATGGTCACACAGATGACACAGGTTACAATCCATGCACTGGTTTTAAATCTCAACGCTCTTAGGTTTCCTTTTCCACTTGGTTTTGTATCGTGGAGAAATATTGTTGCTTTTGAAATGTTTGACTGACGACACCGACGCACCTGCCCTACTGCGAGAAGACATCTTATTTAACCAGTCACAATACATGTATCATGAATTTATTTATTATGAATTTTTAAAAGTCAACGCCCAAGTGAAAGGCACCAACTGTTCACCAAGAAACACCTTCCACTGCAAAGAGACCAAGACGTGATGTTTGTGTAAAACCACAAGAACAAGAAAGTGCAGCTCAGTCTGTTTGTCTTCTGCTCCTCTACATTAACAAACAGGATTTTGTTTTGTTGTCGCTCCACATACAAAATGTTCTCTGTAAACTCAGGATGATTTAGTCAGACAAATGTTTCCTTTTTGGTTCTTCCCGTGGATCAATCCTGCCCATCACCTTCACCTTTCACTATTTTTCAATTCCGTTGGGAAGAGAAACAGTTTGAACAGAGGTTTGAGTCACACACATCTGATTCCGAAGTCCGTTTCTCGAGTCGTTTTCCGCTGTTAGGATCCAACAACCACACAATTACGATGTCCAAATCCCAAAACTAAAATATGACAATATCAGAACCAGAAACAAAAGTGATATGGTTCAAAAGACTTGAAAAGATCGACTTTCACAATAGACACATCCCACTGGGAAAACAAACATGGAGGTTTGATGCTAATTTTTTCGGAAAATCCTTCCCAGTATGAAATGCGCAATGACCAGAAGTCCGAGATTCTTGATGCGTTTATTGGCCTTAAATTAGTTTTGGTTGACCTGCTGCTTAAAGACTATAAATGAAGTTTTATTCCCGTGAGCCGTGTGTGGATCGTGTTTTCTCGCGTACGCTGCGTAAACCGCACTTCCTTCTGTGAGGCTCTAAACCAGAACTAACACCAAGACTAAAACAGGTCTAAACCAGGACTAAACCAGGACTAAAACCAGTGATCTCATATATAAAGCATTTCTCTATCAATAATATTTTTAATATGGTTAAGGAAAGACTGGACTTTTTATTGTCTTTAAGTCGACAAAAGTTATTATGTTCAGATTTCCTCGTCTTTACTTTACAACAAACAGTTTCTTATTCATGGAGACTTGGGCTCAACAGACAATTTGGAGAGATTTGTTAAACAATAAATGACTTTATAAAGTCACTTTTTTAAATCTATATCAGTCTTTTGATCTGCCACAATAATGTAATAATGAATTTAAATGAAAATACCTCAAATTGAAGTCTTTTCTCAGCAATTTTTAGGTGAGATTAAAATGAGATTGATTAGATTAATTAATTACAGATCATAATTAATTAATCTCTCAATTTTTTTTAATCGCATGACAGCACTAATTGTAGTCTTTGTAAATTTCTGTCTTGTTTGGTTTCTTTCAGGTGTTTGATCGTCTGAACTGTGGAGACATGCTGTGTCTGCTGAATGAGCTGGTGCTGCCTTTAAACGCAGATTGTCTGGCCCTCAGCTCTGGTCCTGGTCCAGTCTCTAGACCAGTCTCTAGTTCTAGTCCGGTCTCTAGTCCTCGTTCTGGTCTGGTCTCTGCTCCGGTTGTTGGTTCGACTCCGGTGGCGTGGCTCGGAGGTGGCAGCGGCTCTAAACGTCAGGGAAACATCAGTGCAGTGAATCTGGAAACTGGCAGCGTCCAGACTCAGGTTAGAGTAAGAATAGAAATTGTGTCTTTGACTCTGCGACCTTTTTCTACCTTACACTTGTTAGGAGCTAAGATTCACAAGGCTTCACTCATAGTAAACTATCTTTTTAGCCACATCTGCTCCATCAGCCCCTTTGACCACCAACACATTTTAATTGCACTCTCACACACCACGTTCATACCCAGGAGAGATGGGTGAGGTGTCTTAGGCTAAGAACAAAGCCTTAAAGTGTGACAAGTTGAAAAACGAGCTCTCTAACCACTGAGCACAAACTTTTCAGCTATTCTACATTAGTCATTATTTGTACTTTGGACACCTTAGTCCTGGTATTTGATTTGGCGTAACTTAAATATTTTATGTGCATAGTAAATACTCCAGTGGTTCGATTTATGATGAGGATTACAAACAAAACAGCAGCAGAGGGTGTTGTTAAAATGGTGTTGTTGATGTGAAAAAACCTCTCTCCCTCTTCTCTCTTCTCTTTCTCCCTCCTCTCCTCTCCTCTCCTGTCTCTTTCACTTCTCCCTTCTCTCCCTGATCTCTCCCTCCCCTCTCCATCCTCTCCTCTCCTTCTCTCTCTCTCTCTCTCTCTCTCTCTCGCTCTCTATCTGTCTCTTTCACTTCTCCCTTCTCTCCCTTTCTCTCTCCATCTCCTCTCACCTCCTTTCCCTCATCTCTTCCTGCCTCTCCCTCTCGCTTCGTCGGGTGGTAGACTCCAGTCCAGTGTTGTGTCTGGCTCTGGTCCCTAGCTCACAGGAAGGAGGGCTGTGATTGGCTGGTGGGCGGTACTCAGTCCGGGTCCCTGTTTGTTCAGAACACTCAGGACTGGACCCAGAGGCACCATCTGCAGAGCGTGTCCGACGCCGTCACCTCCCTGTACTTCCACCTGCAGCCCAAACGCACGTAAGAAACAGAAAGTCACAGTCACAGAAATGAACCATTCCTGAATAGCTTTAGAATGATAGTATTATGAACATGTAGAACTTTAATCTGGATTCAGTCATGTTTATTGGTTAGTGAGATGGATGAGATTTGTTAAATGGCATTCTATGGAAGTAAGATATTTGTGCTCATTTTTGTTTGTTTGTTGTTTTGTTGTTCCCACAAGCATGTCCCAATTTACATTCAAAGGCTTGTTATTTTAGTATTATATCTGGTGGAGGATCTGCTACATCATTTTCATCATCAAATCTGTGGATGAAGAACAAAAATCTCATATTTAATGTTTTTGCAGGCAGAGGAGGAGTTACTTGCTGGTGGGGACAGCAGATGGAACTCTCACCGTTTATGAAGACTCAGCTCTCCAGGTGAGGATAAGTGATAGTGGGAATAAACCTGGACTAAAATCTCAACTCAAACCTGGACTAGAATCTGGACAAAACATGAACTAAAACCTGCACTAGAACCTGAACAAAACATAGACTAAAATCTGAACTAGAACCTGGACAAAACATGGACTGAAACATGGACTCAAATCTGGACTCAAATCTGGACTCAAATCTGGACTCAAATCTGGACTCAAATCTGGACTCAAACCTGGACTCAAACCTGGACTCAAATCTGGACTCAAACCTCATTTAATTTACACAATAGTTATGATTTGGCAAATAAAATAAAATCCATAAACTGCCACTTAACTGATGTAAACCTGTGATAAATATTTATTACATGCACTATCCACCAAACCAAGTTAGAAAATCAATTGTATGCAAGTTTTTAAACAAAAGTAATATATTCACAGTGTATAGTAGTAGTAGTAGTCTTGTCTTAGTATTGTCGGTATTTTGTAATCTAAATCAGTTTATATTTATAACATGTTTTTTGTTCATGTCAGGAGGAGAATGGTGAGCCAGTGAAGACCCTGTGCTTGGGCACCATAAACACTCCAGTACTGGGTCTGGGACTGTGCAGTCACTCTGCAGACAGTCGGGGGGGCACTGTGGGGGAGCTGTGGCTCCAGGATCCTCTCGTTTACAGCAGAGTACGATGTGTGTAAAAGTATCGACACCAAACCCAGCCCCGCTCTACAGTGAGTACAAGTCTATGTCTATGCAGTCTATGGTACCAGCTTTGCGTTACAGTAAGTACCAGCCCATGTTTATACCGTCTATGGTATCAGGCATACAGTCTGTGGAGTGTGACGTCCATCTAACCTGGCTCACACCAGATTCATATGTGTGACACTCTGACCTTCTACATATTTTCAATGTGGAACAACTCTCGAAAGTGACTGGAAATGACAAACAAACTTTTGTTGCAGCCCAGTTTAGAGAAAAACAATTAACCATACAGCAGGCTCACTCTGAGATGGATTCTTGTGAGTTTTGGAACTCACAAATGTTGTGAGAATCAGTCTTACTGTGCAAGGTTAAGGTCCATCATCTGATCGAAAACCTGTTTACAATTTCCTCTTTGTTTTGTGAATGACACACCTCACATTAAAAAGAGATTTAGACTGAAATGAAATGAAATACAATCCATCTATTATGAAACATTTAACCATCTTTGCCTTAAATACATCTGTCTCTTTTGTCCCAGGTCTCGTACGTTGAGCTCTGAGGCTTGTATCTCGCGGTTGGCTGTGGACAAACTGGTTTATGTGAGTAAAGTTGCTCAGTAGAGGTTTGGGACAGACGCACCGGAGGATGGTGGACTGCATTGACTGTGCTCAAATCATCAGGTAAATAAAATAGAATACTACCTAATCTCTGAACATATTTGTCAACCTGGTTTATGGTTATATCTCTGTAGATAATGAGATATTAACCACCACATGAAACAAAAACTACCACAAAGTTTAACGTCTTCTCTGTCAGTACAAATAAAATAAAAGTGAAATGATTTTTTCACAATAGCTTCAGAAACTGTTGCCATTATTTACCTCCGATGATGTGATTTCTTTCTTCTTTGCTGTACAGATGAAACCTTTTTCACTTCCTTTCAATATTACATATATCCAGATATTTTAAGTCCTCCCTAATTTTCAAAGTGTTCTACAATTAAGTAAACAGACATTGCAACATTCACAGGAACCAAGCAAATTGAGAACTTAAATTGTTATCTGCCTTATTGTTTTGTGCTTGACCAAGCACAATAAATAAGAAAATATATTAAAATGCTGCCTCTCTCTCTCCTCAGGCAGAGCAGCTCTCGGGGCAGACCCTCACAGCAGGACCATCCCACGGACAGCACCCCCGCCTGGGCTCAGGTCAAGACTCTCCTGGTCCAGTCTTTGGTGTGTCTTTGGGTCGGGACCAGAGGAGGTCACATGATCCTCGTGGAGCTCAGTAAGAACCAGGCTCTGCAAGTTCTGGGGCCGCACTGCCAGTCTGTGCGCTGCATCGTCCCATCCAACAGCGGTGAGAAAATACTAAGTTTAGTATCAATTTATCAGAGTGGAATTATGATGGAAAATCTACAAACTAGACATTAATACAAGGGAAAAAGCTTGCGAGTGATTTCAATGCCACTAGATTAAAACCAACCAAAGGTTTACGTGGTAACTAGTCATACAGTGAATTTCTAGTAAAGTCAAATGTGTCTTGCTCATAGACAGTATATACTATATATACATAATATATATATATATATATATATATATATATATATATATATATATATATATATATATATATATATATATATTATATATATATATATATATAATTTTTCTTTCTATCTTTCTTATCTGTCTTGTGTTTATTCAGGTACAGGTGTTTTAATTGCCCTTAAAATGAAAAGAAAATGTATGCCTTCTTACTGTCTGCTGTGTCACCCCTCTCCACAGATCTGACCTGTAACTCGCTGTAGCTGTGTCAATGCTTGTCTCCAAGGAGATATAGAAATTTAGATTTTTGATTACCACAAATTAAAACCTCTACTTGTGTTTTATGTTTTTTTTCCAGAAAGCACTTAAAAAAGGGATCTGCCCAAAGTGGATCAACGCACAAAACCTTACCTCATATCCTCAACAAAACCAACAACATATTAAGACTTTTATACAGTTTAGACATTTATAAAGGGAAAACATGACTCTGTATTCTCAAAGCCTCTTGTTTTGTAAATGACTTTTGTGAAACTTGAGCACTCCAGTTTTTATGCTACAAAATATGCTACAAAGTTATTTTATTTTTAGAGTTTTGAACTTTTGTTGCTTTTTGTAAATGTAAAAAAATATTGACTGTTTTGTTATTAAACAAATAATTTAAGAAGGTTTGAACCTGTGTAGAGATTTTATATAATAATGGCAAGTCATTGTTTTGGTTAGGTCATTTATATATTTGACAGAGACGACGAAATCAAGACTGCAGGACATCTAAACCAGGTATCCACAAACCACACAGAAAATCTTGTTGAGGACCAGAATTTGATCTTTAATTTGAGAAAAGAAAAAGGCGACACTGCGTTTAAAGCCATTTGAAGAAAAAATAAAATAAAATTTACAGACAGACTTGAGCATGTTAGTACAAAAGAAGAAGAGCTATTCAAATGGAAATTATTTCCCCCAAATCTTAAAAACACCAGTGATTTTATGTTACATTTACACAACACTTTAAATAAGCAGCCTTCATTTTCCCCACACACTTAGAATGATTTGGTCCTAAACCAGGGCTAAATAAGGTCTACACCAAATCTAAACCAGGACTGAACCAGGTCAAACTAGATCTGAACCTGGACTAAATCTGGTCTAAACCCGGTTTGAACCAGATCTGAACCAGGACTAAACTAGGTCTAAACCAGGACTAAACCAGGCCTAAACCAGGACTAAACTGGGTCTAAACCAAATCAGATCTAAACCAGGTCTGAAACGGGTCTAAACCATACAGAATTCTTTAAATAAACCTTCATTTTCCCCACACACTTAGAATGACTTAGGCACATTGTTTCAAATAGGGGCTTGCAGAGTGAACAGCGCCACCTGGACAACATTCGAAGAAACACAAAATGATATAATAGAAGTGAAAGGGGTTAAACACTTGAATTCACAATTTTGATTTGAGCAATTCCGATTTTTTTTTTTAATTATTATTATTATTATTTATTTTTATTTTTTCCAGCTAAAAAGTTGCATACTGTGGCTTTAACTTGTTTCAACAGATTTCCTCCTCTTATTTTAAGCCAATTTTTCTTTCAGCACTGGTCAGAATTAAAAACAATTATGTGAAAGGTTACATGTGTCAAAATGACTCAAATCAAGATTGAAACTAAATTCATGTCATGCGAACCATCAGGTTTATGTGTGCGTGTGTCTGTTTACTGCATAAGTCACATTAAAGGTGCTCTGTGTTACAGATTCAAGTATCGCTCATGAAAACAGTAGACTTCATCAGGATTTGCTTTTTCTGTTTGGGAAAAATGTGAAATACTGTGAGATATTTAACAGTACACAAATCGGATATAATATTTCTAATACATAGTCCGAAACCAGGTACAGGATTACACCAGGACTAAATCAGAACTAAGAATACACCTGGTCCAGACTATTAAAAACTAAGACTTGGCAGAACTAAACCATGTTTTACCAGGGTCTAAACCAGGACTCAACCTGGACTCATCCTGATTTCACTCGGCCTGGACTGAACCAAGTCTAAACCAAGTTTACTCTCAGACTAAACCAGGTGTCACTCAAAACTAGGAATACAACGTGTAGCTAGCTCAGGAGAAAAACAAGTCTAGTAGAACTAAACCTGGTTTAAACAAGGACTAAACCAAGACTAAACCAGGTTAGAGCCTGACCATAGGCTGCTGTCTGTCCTCCTAATGTTATGGCTGATTTGTGTTTACTGAAATATCAGAGTTATTGTTTTTTTTTTTTTTTTTTTGTGTTTTTTTTTAAATCATTAAAATCTTTAAAATAAGAAAAAAGCAGTGCACATTTTCAAGTATCAAACGTCCAGGAGACTTGTTTATACTGCTTCACTGAGGCCGGATCAGTGTTGGGAAGAATACCTCCAAAATGTATTTCATTACAGAATACTCAATACCAGCTTTAAAATGTACAATGTCCAATCAGAATACAGAGTAAAAAAATGCAACCTGGGTTTAAACAAAGGTTGATAGTACTTAGTAACATTTACAACAGTAACATTTTTTAAGAACGCTGCTTTACTCTTACTTGAGTAATATATTGTACAGTGTAATAGTACTCTAACTTGAGTTATATATGTTGTAAGTACTCTAACTTGAGTTATATATTGTACAGTGTAACAGTACTCTTGAGTACATTTGAGTAAAAGTTGTGGTTGCTCTTCCCACTGTGAGGAAGACTAAAGTAACAAAAGCTTTATGTGACAATAAGAAATGATTTGAACATTTGTGATTACTATTAATACTGTGCCATCTGAAGCTTAAACATACACTATGTAACATTTTGTAATTGCATACATGCTAGATAAATAACAAACTTTAGAACATTCCAGGCAAAGCATTAACATCTCCATGGTAACAAGCAGGTGGCTGAACCTCCATTAGAAAAGTTACATAGTGTATATTTAACTTGCATCAAATAACTGATTTTAGGAAAGTAATTGTGTTTTGAATAACACCTAAATGAAAGTGGAAGTATTCTGAATATGTATTTTTGGTACATGGTTTTTACTTCCCAACACCGTGACCTGAAGAATGAACTGTAATCAGAGGAGCCGTACAGTCACGGCCAATCACAGGAGCCGAACCGTAACAGCCAATCAGAGGAGCCAAACGGTAACAGCCAATCAGAGGAGCCGCTACAAAAATACCATTTTCAGCAGGACTTGAACTCAGTACCACCCAAAGTCACCTCTAGACCTTTAAACTTTACAATTTATCATCAATTATTCTCATAAGAAATGTTTTCAGACAAACTTTGGTACACAATTGGAAATTTCAAAATTATTACAACTAAAAAAAAAACTGAACATTTTAAATAGCAATGTTAATGTTACAGGTTTCTTGGTGTACAACTTGTAAATAAATATTAGAACTCTACAACATGACCAAATGTGTCCTATTATTGAAATGCAGGGGGCGCTATGCTTGAATAGATTCTTCTACACCAATTGGTTATCAACATGATTTAACCTTCTTTTTCAAAACTTTTTAAATTTTCATTTCAAAACAAAAATTGTACTAGATTTTACCAGGGGCCAAACTATTTAAGTGCTTATTTTTGTGGTTTCAATGTGGCGTCATTAGTATCACCAAAACAGATTGTCTTTCTGTGCACACAAAAATGTATGCGGTCGTTTTCAATTTGATTTTGTCAATTTTTCTATAAGAAGTTAGTGCAATAATCAAATCACATTTGAGTTAACATGTGGTTCTAAAGAATATATACACACTACCAGTCAAAAGTTTGGACAAAGAAAAAAAGTTAAATAACTCAAATAAATAGTTTTTTAATTTTATATTCAATATCCAAAAAGTAGCCACCCTTTGCTTTGTCAACAGTATTGCAAACCCTTGGCCTTCTCTTAAAAAGCTTCTTGGGTAAGTCTCCTGAAATGGTTTTCACTTCTGTGCCTTATCAGAGTCAAGAAATGCAAAGCATGGTTCAAAGCAAAGGGTGGATAAAAACATTTTAAATTTTGAGGTATTGTGAGTTTATGTTTTGTTTACTACATTACATATGTGTGATTCTTAGTACTGAGGCCTTCAGTGAGCATTTACAGTGTAAATAATCATGGAAATAAAGAAGAAAAAATTAAGAAGTGTGTGTCCAAACTTTTAACTGATGGTGTATAGCAAATGAACTCTAGCATCGCTTTGCTAAATACATTTTTCAGTCATTTGATGTAACATTTAACATACATTTAACCAACAATACATTTTGATTGACCAAACTTTTGGCTTCATGATTTCAAATTTGAAATGTACACTTATTTTAAGTTTGCTCGCTTCTTTTGACCATTCCATAAGTTGATCTACTTTTTCAGTGCTCACATTAGTTGGAGTTAGAGCTGGAAGTATGTTTTGGTAGAGGCTCAGGAGATCATCTAATAACCAGAGAGTTGCAGGTTCAAATCCCTGTTTCCCCCACTTCACCTTCATTGCCTTTAAGACTTGGACATTAAACTCGTAAAAGAAAAATCAGATCATGTTTAGTGCCAGTTTGATGGACTAAAGCAAAACTACTATGTCTCACAGTCCATTGGTCCATTTTCCGAAGCTACCGTAACTTTTTATCGCTAACTGGAGCTAGCCGCAGATGTAGAGGTGATTTTGGGTTTTTAAGACATTTTGACATTTTATAATTTCATTTCTTACATTATCTCAGTTTAAACTTAAAAACGCCTTAAGTTCCACGTCGACGAAGCAGGATATCTACAGACACTTTACAAACGTTGAAATTTGCACACAATTTTGCCTTTTTTTTTTATTTACTTTCGTTTTTGCGTCTACAAGTCTGACTCGGGCATGTCGGGCATCTCCACCGTCAGGTAACCGATGCCGTAGCGTCCGTTGGGAGCTGTGTCGACCTCCGGGGGCGCTGCTGTTCCGTCAGCATCGTTAGCGTTAGCGTGGCGGTGATTCCGGGCGTGGGGGAGGGCTCCTGGCTGGGGCTGTTGCCATGGATGAGGCTAGCGTCATCCACGTCTTCGGTCTGTGGTGTCTCCGCGATCATCCGTACTCTTTTGTAGGATACGGATGACAACCCGCCAGGACTGTCGTCGATGATGTTACAGAAGCGGAGTCCGAACACCACGGGAACAGGAAGGATCGCCATGACGACCAGAGAGATGCACACTACGATGCCCCACACGGGAAAAGCCAACTTCTGCTCCGCCGCCTAAAGAGAGAGAGGGTGGGGGAGAGAAAGAGATTAAGAATAGAGGGAAATTTATTTATTTATTTATTTATTGTTAAGAAAAAAAAATTGTTACACATGTAGATCATTATTATTTTATATTATGTTTATTGTAATTGGCAATATTGATTCAGAAATGACTTAATTTGACTTAATTATATATATATATATTTTTTTTTTTTTTTTTAAATAAACA